GCTGATTCTGCCAACCAGCGTTTTTAGAGACAGCGCGATATGCCAGTGAGTGAAATGAATCAATTCAGAACTTTCTAAATTCTAAAACTGAGCGCGTACTTTCGAAAATCATTGATTCTTAACACGCACACCTCCCTTCGGTGAATACTGATCAACGCACTTTATCGTTGCACTGCGTGTCGCATGAGAACAGTAAACACAAACGTTCATTTGAACGCAGCATATTTCATTCCTAATGTAAATCCCAAACATACTACCTGCCTATAAGGGTTGTTCTGAAAGTCCGCGAAAAAGTGAAAAGCTAACATATTTTTTTGCTTCAAATTTGAAGGCTTACCTTATTTCCACAAAGCACGATCGGGATATTTTCACAAACTCGAACCAGATCACGATGCCAGTTAGGAACATTCTTGTATGTTACACGAGCTGTTACGTCGAACATTATGATTGCACATTGGCCTGAACATCTGGAGATTAAAATGCCACAAGAAAGCATATGCGAGAATCAATCTCACCTTGAATGTAATATCCATCACGTAAACCGCCGAATTTTTCCTGTCCAGCAGTGTCCCATACATTGAATCGAATTTGTCCTCGGTTAGTATGGAAAATAAGAGGATGGACCTCTACTCCAAGAGTTGCTAAACAATGAAATAATAAGAAATGATGAAATAATGTAAGCGAAATTAATGCCAAGGAGAGAAACTGCAGTCTCAAATAGACTCACCAACATATTTCTTCTCAAATTCACCGGTTAAATGGCGCTTGACGAATGTTGTTTTTCCTGTACCACCATCACCTACCAAGACAAGCTTGAAGGTGGGGATCCCGTCGCCAGCACCTGCCATCTGAACGAAGCGTCGTGTTGATGTCGATAACAGCACAACAATGAGTTCATCAGCGGCAGGACAACATGTTTTAAACACATGACTCAAACTTTCGGGCTATTACCAAACGTAGATTCGGGAACAAACTTGCCGACAATGTGGAAGGACATATAGTGACATAATGTGGTGTACTTGGCACTTGATATATAGCTGTCAGTATGACGTAATAGAAAGAAAATGATGAGTCATCGATTTCACGTGACTATAGCATGACGTCACAGGATAGTTTAGATGCGGTGGGGCGGAAAAAGGCACGAGCAGGTGATGTGAAGAGAGTGCAGTCTTTGCAAAATTAGTTCTTGCAAAGACTCACCCTCTTCACATCACCTGCCCGTGCCTTTTTCCGCCCCACCGCATCTATCCTGTGACGTCATGCTATAGTCACGTGAAATCGATGACTCATGATTTTCTTTCTATTACGTCATACTGACAGCTATATATCAAGTGCCAAGTACACCA